TATGCGTTTTTCGCATTGCATTGCTGCAAAAAACGCATAAAAAAGAAAAAATATTTATTTTACTGCCTTATCTATAGCGATTAGTAGGTAGCACAAAATGATGTGAAATGTACCTGAGGAGGTGCGAAAACATTGAGGTAGAGACAATCCTCGGAAATGTGGATTCGATAAATGTTGGCAGGATCAGTCTGGCGAGTTCGGGGCTTCTGGGCGCACATTGCTGAATACTGCGTTGCATTCATAACGCCTCTCCATTTTGCTGGTGGCTCCGGCATCTAAAAACATTTCTAATCTTCCGGAAGCGATTACCAGCTCAACGGCTAAATGGATTACCAGTTCAATAAGCTTTCCCTAAGAGGCAGTTCAACAACTTTTTTGACTTATGCTTGATTAGCAGCAAGGATACAAGAGAAACAGAAGCTTTGATTCAGAAGTCAAGCCTAAGTTAACTGGCCCCTCACTGGCTGTAGCTGTACTTTCTTCTACCTCTACGCACAAGCCCAGTAGTCCAGTTATCATCTTCTTTTCTTTCATATCAAAAACTTTTTTTCTTCAGTAAAACTGACGAGACGGTTTTTGCTCAATTCAAATTGTTCGATCTCCAAGTGGCTAAAGCTTTGACAAATTGCTTCTGTCAAAAGAGTCACTACACAGGCAATCACTACACCGGCAATCCTTTCAAAAAGGCGAAGGGAAAGACAGGATAGCCAGGAGATTGACCAATTAGACGATGCAGTATTGATCAAAACAACTATGAAATGAAGAAAGAAACTGGCATGACTATTGGCTACACCACTAACAGTTGAACGTGAGACTTGGAAACGGCAGCGGGGTTTATGGAAGGACAGGAGTGGTCAACCAATAGCGTTTCTATTTTCAAATTCCAAGTACCAAGTCCAGTAAACTTCAATTATCAAGCTGTCGTCTCAAAAGAAATTTCAAAACAGGACACACCTGAAACCGTAAGGAGCCGACTGGTGGTGCGGCGTAAGGAATTCCCTTAAACACAGCAAAATCGTTTGCGCCAATTGTCTACAAAAAAAAATCAAAGTTTAACAAGTAGAAAAAGATCAAGTCGAAGTTGCTTTGGCTGATAAAGCCGAATGCTTCCTTATTTGCCTCTTTTGTTTGCCTTCTCCAGCCTTTTCGAACAGCAATTTTTGCAACGCTAACTGTTGTTTTTTTGAGGGTAATGCAGCACGTACTGATTTATCTGCTTTCAAAACTGGAGATACAGCAGGAATTTCAAGACCGCTCAGGAAATCAGTGCTGTACCCTGTTAGCCATGCTATTGGGATGTTGGTGCTGTGCTGTATCCTTAGCCTATCATGTAGGAACATGATAGGCTAAGCTGTGTCCTATTTTTCGGTCCTGAGTGACACACCTTCCTCAGTTGGTACCAATTGCCCATTCGATGTAAATGCGACACCTTTCATTTTACAAAAGTTCATTTCAAATAAAAGTTAATAAAAAGGACTTAGAAATTTTTTATTGAGCTCACATCGAAGAACTCCTAATAAATTAGTTACTTACAGCACAAGCATAGCCAGAAACGTTCAAAAGGTAGGAAGCGTTTTTGTTGAGAAAAATGGATTTCAGCGGTTTTCAAGAACAATTTTGAAATATTAAGGAGTTTTCAGAACTGAAATTTTCAAAATTATGATGAAATATACTGAAATATGAACTCTCGGGAAAAAGCGATTGGGAGATTCTCACAAAAAAGCAGGTCTCTGTTTGAAAGATAGCTTCTTTGAAAGGAACAAGATATGTTCAGAGGCAATTTTACAAAAATTTCAAGCTTTAGTAGTTCCGGAGTTGAATTATTCCGGATAAATTACGTTAAAAAACAGTAAAATATCAGGAATACCAAGACTCGAGCTATCAGTGTGGGTATTCCAAAGGATCGGTGATTTTACTACCACACCGCTATGCCAGGTCCTTTGACCCG